TCGCACTCATTTTTCTCGCCCCGTTTCCCCGCCCTTGCCCCGGGGACGTGCTTCTCTTCTTTGCCCACTCATGTTTGGTTGCCTTCCTGCAGTCCAAGCCCGAGATCCGCGACATGAGCACCACCACCGATGAGCACTCCATCACCGCCACCTTCACCGTGTACAACAAGCCCGTCAACGCATTCTGGGCGCTCTTCCAAGTGAGCGGGCGAGGGAGGTGGCATTGGGTGCAGGGCTCAAGGGCGTGCAACCTGCTGGGGCTGCGTTCGCCGGCTGTGCCCAGGTGGCAGCACACGCTTGCCACTTAGCCGCTCGCCCTTCCGCCTCATCCATCCATGCACCCCACCCCGGTCTGCCGCAGGTGCCTGAGGTGCACGTCACCGCCAAGGCCTTCCTCCCCTCCACCTCCCTGGTCACCTTTGAGCTGGGCAACGGCCTCAACTTCACCACCTTTGTCTCCACCTGCCCCATCTCGGGTGGGTGGGTGTGGTGGGATGCGGGTGTGATGCTGGGCAGCTGGGTTGTACGCACTTGCTATGCCCAAGGCTGGGGCCCTCTGGCTGACCACTACTCTGCTGTGCTGTTTGCGCCCTGGTGCCCCGCTGGTGCAGCCAACAAGACCGTCAACCGCTTTGCCCTGGTGCGTAAGCTGTCGTCCGACAAGACCGGCATCTTCAACTCGCGACTGTGGGATGGCATGGCGCGCAGGTGAGCACACCCATTCCCGCCGCGGGTTGGTGTCATCTGGCTGATCGGAATGCTAATGGGTGCTGCTTGCCTGCCTGCCTTCGCTGTTGTGCTGCCGAGCCTCTGCCTGCTCACGCACCCGCCGCTGCTGCTGCTGTGGCATGTTCCTGCTGCAGTGCCATGCTGAAGATCCAGCGGGAGGACAAGGAGATGGTGGAGCAGCTCAAGTATGACCAGTTGCCAGCCGAGTACAGCGTGCGCGCCGACCTGCCGCAGATCATGTTCCGCAAGCTGCGCCAGCAGGTGCGTGGGCAGGTTGTCGGGAGGGCTGGGCAGGCGGGTGGAGTTGTTGAATGTCGTTGGGTTGCCACGGTGGTGTATGCCTTGCGGCAGTGCCAAAGGCTGATACTGGTGGCTGTCTCCTGCCTGCGCAGTATGTGGACATGGGCTATGGCGTGCCCAGCGAGCAGCGCGTGGCGCCCTTTGCCTCCAACCCCATGCGGGACCAATGAAGAGGGTACTCCCATTGTAAATGAAAAAGGGTAGTACCATTGTAAATGCATTCCCCGTAACACATGCTCTTTCCAATTGATGCATCCTGTTTCTTCCTGTTTGCCTGTTGGATAAATGAATTGATTGAACCTCCTCATGATGTTTGTGTCTGCTGTTCTGTCTCTGCTTTCTGTCTGTCGGATGCTGTGAGTGATCAAAGGCCTGCTGGCCTCAAGGAGGATTGTATAAACTACTAGTGCACCTGTACCATAGCCGAATGCCTTGTGCGGGAACCACCCCCATCTTCTCAACCCATACTTTCAACTCTATCTCGGCTTGATGCCGTCTTCTTTCTTTGCGTGCCTGGTGCCATGATAGCGACGCCGGCTCCCCACCTTCTTCAGTTTGTGGGCACCTCTCCTGCTCGTTGCTGGCCTGTGCTGGGTTCTGCAAGCTCAGAATTGTGCAAGCTCAACCCAGAATTTGCTCCATTGGCCATGTTGTAATAGCAGCTCTAGGGAAGCTCAGAAAGGAGTGATGGTGCCGGGGCGAGAAAATGTGGGCTGGGCAACCCAACAGGAGGGATGGGGCAGTCAAGAGCCTGACGTGAGACGCACGCCTGGCTTGTCTCCTCCTGCTGCTGCGCGCGTTAGGGGGCGGCGGGCGGCAGGCTGCCACCCGAGCCATCTTCCAGCCGGGTGCGAAGCGACCACCGCCGGTCTTCCTGACCGGCAGGTGGGAGCGCCAGCAGCCCAGCGCGCCGCGCTGCAGGGCGGGTGGGGCGGGAAACAGCACGGGAGCAAGCAAGAGAACGATCCCGAAACCGCACAGAGTGCGGCCTCTGGCCGAGGGCGACAGCATGACTGCCGCCGCTGTGGCGCTGTACAGCGGTACAGGGCACCCCTCGCCGCAGGCAGCAGAGAACAGCAGTTACTGTGAACAGTAACATCATATGAGGGTTACACTGCAATCCCCACGGGGGGTTCAAACACAATTCCATTCCCACCCCAGCAATGCAGGCTTCCCGTCAGGAATTGCTGGCGGCCGTCTGCCCGCCTGCGGGCCCGCCCGCAGTCACCACCACGCCCCTGCCAATGACAGCTTTCCTGCCCTCCATGCCGTCCTCGCGCTGGCCGCTGGCAGCTGTCGCATCGTACCGGCCCAGCAGTTCACTCAGCTCGTCTTGCGTCAAGCCACACGGCAGCAGGCTCTCGGCCCGGCGGAAGCGCAGGTCAGCAGAGGCGCTGCTGGCGAGCGACAGCAGCGCCAGGTCTTGGCTGGCGCCAGCAGCCTGGCTGGCGCGGCGCGAGGCAGGGAATGCTGCGACCGCGGATGCAGACTCTGAGCTGCGCTGGTTGCGGCCTGCACAGGGATGTGGGAGAAGGCTGAGACGGAGGCCAGCCTTGTTGCTTGTGCTGGCCCAGGCAACTGTGGCGAGCGGTAGCGGCGAGCGGTGGCAGCGAGCGAGGTGTGCCCCACCCCATCTTGCTGATGGGCTCCAGCGCCTATGCACCGGCTCACCAGGAGCAGAGGGTGATCCTGAGGAGGGAGGCAGGGCGCCGCCCTGCTGGAAGCTGTGCCTCTGTTGGGCCATCAGGGCAATGCTTTGTCTTCAGAAAACTCAGATTTTGAGACTGTCGACCCAAATGTGCTCCAGCAAACTGCTCGACGGGGGCCCAGGGAAAAGGAAAGCTGAGGAGGTGGACATGAGGAGAGCTTCCCCTCAGTGCAAAGCTGCTCAAACCAACCTTGGACGCCGCAATAGGGGTGGCGGTGCTGTGGCAAGCCTGGCGCCTGCTCAGGCAGTGAATGGGACTCGAGGCGCGTCGATGCTTGAACAGCTGGCGGCATGCCTGCCGACATCCCCCAGCAGCCCGTTGCACCGCGGCATCGGCTCTTGCCAGTGTGGGGGTCGAGCATGGCATTGCCAATCAGGCGGCTTGGCATGTGCCGATGGACGGCGGAAGCTGGTGTTGCGGCGCATGCGGCGCGGCAGCCCGCCCGACAGCCGCAATTGTCCAGTGTGTGACACACTTTTTGCAGCTTGGCAGCCCAATGCCATCACACACAGGGTGGATGGCGCTGCATCGTTTGAGGCACGATGCGACCCCCGCCGCCACTATCCTAGCGGAGGCAGGCCAGCCGCCGCTCCATGCCCGCTGGCTGCGGCAAGCAGCTCGCCTGTGGATAACAGCCTGGTGACCGCCTCTGAGGGCAGCATGCTGCGGCTGGTCGTGAAGGCAGCGGCAGCGCTGGCAGACGTGCCGCCACAGCAGCAGCCTTGGGCAGCCCAGCTGCACAGCTTCCGGGCTGTGGGCCTGACGGTTAATCCGCTCCACATGGACGAGATCAGCCCGGACGGCGCGCAGCAGGCAGCCCTGCATCTCCATCTGGCGCGTGTGGAGCAAGAGACACCCGCCCACACCCGGCTGCGCCGCTACATCTGCGATGTGCGTCCGGAGTGTTGTAGCCCGGAGGGCATTGGCCGCCCACCATATGTCACAGAGGTGCGTGAGCGGCGCTGCCGCCGCGGCTTGACAGAGCTGCGCGCAGGCATGCTTTGGGGGGCGGAGGAGCACGGGCCGCACTGGCACGCCACATGAGCAGGCATGTGCCCGCACTGCCCCGCGGATGGTCCCGGCGGCATTGAGGACACATCCTGTTTGTGTGCCCTTTGTATGGCGCCGAGCGCAACCGCTGGCCGGAGCTGTTCCACGAGTTCTTGGGCCTGCCGCCGGCGTCCGTCCCCCTCGGCGCATTCTTCCAGCAGAGCAGCACTGAGCTGGCAGGCCTGGCGGCTGCATGCCGCAAGAAGGCACGGGACGCCATGAGCCCACAATCGCACAGTGCCCTTGATTGATCTTTCTATGATGCAGGGCAGGGGGAGGAGGAAGGGGCGGTGAACTATCTCGTAGGACCGGCATATGGCCCCATAGGCCTGTCCGCACTTATTATTATTATTACATTATGTGTAGTCTGTCTTTGGTCAATCACTGAACCGTCACAGACTGTTATGCATGCGGGGTGAAGGTGGAAGATGAATGGGTGGGAAGAGAGGTAGTACAGACAACATGAAAACTAGGAGTAGAAAGCACAAGCAAAATGCATGGGGGTAGGAAACCGGGGCCAGGCAGGCAAGCAACAAAAGAAAGCAGACAAAAACAGGAGGAGGGGGAGAGAGGGGGAGAGAGGGAGGCACAACAGGAAGTTAGGAGTTAGTCTGTCCTCAGGGAGACCCGCCCCAACCAGACTCCTCTCCCCCTCCGTCTGCACCCCACCTGCTTGTGTGGGCTTAAAGTCTGGTAAAGCAAGAACTAGCTTGCAACATAGACTCCCCGCCGAAACGGGACGGGAACCGGGCGAAAGCAGAGAAAGCAATAAAACAGGGGTGGAGCAAGGCGACATGCAACGCAAGCAGCTGACAGGGCACGCATCGAAACGTGTGTATGACTGGCAAAGTGGCATGGCGCATTGGGGAGAAACGCAACGGTACGGGAGCATGGGCTGGCCAAACGGCAGTGCGGAACGCTAGGTCACTAGAAAAGCAGGGAAAGGCGCACTATGTATGCAATGAGGGCAGCCCCGGCTCGGGGCCGTTGAGAAAGCAGTGGGCGGGAGGGGGGAGGCCCCGGTGTGGGCGGGCCCCATCGAGGGGGGATGGGGCGCGCAAGCGGCCAGATGGGGCGGGGCGCGGGCGGCAGTGGAGTCCTGCGGCTGGGTGGGATATAGGGCAATGAGCGTTGAGCAGTGTGCGATGAGCAATGAGCAATTCACTTCCCGGTTTTAACGTCTAGCTTTAGACCATTATTTGATCTGCCCGACGCGCCAAGTGCAGTACCCCCCACTAGTAGTGAATGGGTCCCGGGGAGGCCTGTGCCGAAGCCTTGGCGATTCTATTAGGCGTTCCCGAAGGAATTGGCTTGGATTGGCGCTGAGCCGGTCAGCTATGCCGCGTTTGTCCTCACAAAGTTTCGACATGGGAGGAATCGAACCTGTGCCCTCTCGGAGGGTTTAGACACTAGCTCCAGCGCCTTCAAAGAAGGCCTTTCTTAGCCGCGGTCGAACGAGCAATGAGCAGTGAGCAGCCCCTCCCTAAACAAAGTGAAGCGCAGGACGGGGTCCGGTGGATGGGAGGCAAGGAAACGCGGGGGGTTGCCACGTGCGCTACCGCCGCCGCCGCAGGCAGCACCCCTGCGGCGGCGGCAGCGGCAGCAAGCCGTGGACCCAAACGCCGTGCCGCCGCCGCCGCAGGCAGCACCCCTGCGACGGCGGCGGCAGCAAGCCGTGGACCGAAACGCCGTGCCGCCGAGTCCCGTGGCTGTGGCCGTGGGCTTCTGGCAGGAAACTACGGCCGCAACTCGGCAGCACGGGGGCGTCGCAGCGTGCCCCCGCCGCCGCCGCGCTGCCCCCCGGGCACGGCGGCGGCGGCAGCAAGCTTGGGCCCAAACGCCGTGCCGCCGAGTCCCGTGGCTGCGACCGTAGACCGTGGGCCGGAAACTGCGGCCGCAGCTCGGCGGCACGTGGTTCTGTTCAAATCGCCAAGCGTGCAGCAGCGCCGAACCACGCTTCCCGGCCTCGGCGCATGCCTTCAGGGGCCCCCTATCGCTGGGCACACCCCTCCAACACCGAACATGCGCCCGGGGGGGAGGGCGGCCCGGGCTGCCCAGGCCAAAGTGGGCCGCCCTCGAGCAAGAGGCGGCCGGTCTGTGTGCTGAATGAATGAATGGATGCGTACTACTCGAAAATAGCAGCAGCACGCTCAATACCCTTGCCGGGTTGAGTGGCGCCAGTGTTTCCCCCCTCCCTTCTCTCCTCGTTTGGAGAGCTCTCTCCTCGTTTGTGTATGGTGCCTCCCCACCTTTTCCAGCACCACAACTGGAGCCGTAGCATTTGCTTGCTTCGTATGGGTGTAACAGACAGACAAGACAGATAGGGCGGCGGAGCGTTGTGGTCTGTGATGTTACAGAGGCAATGTCCATTAATGGGCTGGGGGCACACAAGCTGTGATGACTGACCAACC